ACAGAGGATAATCGATCCTGACCTAGCATCTTGACTTCAGCCACTTTCTCACTGACGAGTCGTGGCTTCCCTCTTCCTTTTCTATAAATATTTATAAATCTAGAATAAGTCGATGCATTGAATATCGCTGCCGTATCTGGTCTGGTGTTCCTGCTGTCCATCTCGAGACTCTTGACAAAATTCAAAGAAGATTCTGAAATATAATCGATCCTTACTTGGCATCTCGACTTCAGTCACTTTCTCACCGACGTGACCTCGCTTCCCTCTATCTTTTCTACAAATATTTATAAAATTACCATTTGTCCATGCATTGAATATCGATACCGTATCTGGTCTGGTGTTCTTGCTGTACATCTCGAGATTCTTGACAAAATCCAATGAAGATTCTGAAATATAATCGATCCTTACTTGGCATCTCGACTTCAGTCACTTTCTCACCGATGTGACGTGGCTTCCTTCTGTCTATTCTAAAAATTGTTTCACAACAACTTCTCTGATGAGTTTTACTCTTTGGTGTCCTGATTCTGTGATTTTTAGCATGGCACTAGATTGGCTATTAGGTCCCTCCTTTTTACTATTGAACTATAGCTAGATGCAACCACATGGTCTGTTCTAATAGTTTCTGTTCTTGCACTTCCCGCCTATGTAAATCACTTCCGATTCCTTTCTTTTCTGTCACTTACAATCTTAAAAAATTGAAATGCAACATTAATAACCCTCTTCTCTCTTCCTGAATCCTTTTTCTTTTATTTTCCTCACTCAATCGTAGTGGCATCGTAGCCTTTCTTGGGGTGAATTGATAATAATAATAATAATAATAATAATAATAATAATAATAATAATAATAAGTGAAGCCTTAATCTGATGGTTCAAATGTTTTGCAGATTAAGCTAATCTAATTTTAAACGAAACATGGAAATTTGACAACATGAATTTACAGACCCTTGAAAATTCTGAAGGCACGTGCTCGCTAGACATTGTCAATTTCTTTCTATGGCGGTGTCATGCCTCACATTCCACTTTTTCCAGCTCGATTATTAACTGAGAGAAGGTTACTAACAGGCGATCAGCATCTACTGTCAACCCCCACCCCCACTCATCAGTGCAGCAAGACCATCAGTGTAGAGACCTTTGTCCTCCCATCGTCGCGACCATAGATCACGATTTTAATTTCTCCGTGTCAACTGGACACTTCACTTTTCAGTCGGACTAAGCGCGATAGTCTCTTCATGCGATAAAAAGAGTGTAAATTTTGGAGTCGTGGGGTCATGAGTGTAACGTTAGGGTAAATATCTAAGCCATATCTCACGGCTGATTTTGCTGTGAGAAAAGAAAAATAGGGGGTGCTTTCTGTCAGGATTTCTGGGAAGAGGAGTCGGCATTATTTACACTATTTGTGATAACGATAACAAAGATAAGGATAACAGTTTGTATGAAAATAGTGTAAATGAAAGTTGTTTTCAATTACTTTCGCCCATATTCTATAGACGTCAGTTTAAACAAGATACCTCCAAAATTTTTCTAAAACGTATACCATGATGAAAAACGGCCTCAAACTTGATAAAAACAATTTTTTATCGTCAAGATGTTAATATTATTATTAAGACAAACGATGAAAGTATTTTTTTTTATTAAGCTTTTTAATTCTTTCTAACACGTTCGAAATTTGGCTAAAAATCTGGCGGCCAAAAATTAATATATTTTTAGCGTCTTTTTTGGCGTTAAAAAAACATTGTTTTGGAAATTCTTGCAAAAAACAAAAAATTGTTGAAATTTAATTAAATTTTCAGTAATTATTCACAAATGAATGAACTTATTTGTGAATTTTTTTTGGGGAAAATTTTGTTAAACATATTTTTTTCATCTTTTACTTCCACTTACCATTTTTTATATCTATTACGTCCACTTAATTTTTTTTTATATTTTTTACTTCCACTTAGTTTTTTTACATCAAATAATTCCACTTAATTATTTTTTTACATCAATTAATTGCACTTAATTAATTTTTTTTACATCTTTTACTTCCACTTACTTAATTTTCTTTTTTTTACATCTATTACTTCCACTTAGTTTTTTTTCATCAATTAATTTAACTTAATTAGTTTTTTTTTACATTTATTAATTCCATTTAGTTTTTTCTTACATCTGTTACTTCCACTTACTTAATTTAATGAAATTTATAGAAATTAAAATCTCAGCCTCTTCATATTCATATTAGTCCAAAGCAGGACCCCTTGGAGAATTTAAATCAACAATTTTTTGTTTTAAAGACAAAAACACTATTTACTGAAAATCAACTCCGAATCATGAAATAAAAAAGGCATAAATTTTGACATTATTCAATTAGAAAAGTGTTTATAAATAAGGTATATTATTATTTTTCGATGAATAATGAATTTTTACAAGAATTGTTTTCGTTTTTTACATTTTAATTATAAAAATTTATTAAGTTTCAAATCTTTTAAAATTCTGTATTAATTTCATCATTTCAGATGATATTAAGCGAAAAAAATATTTACTAATTCTAAAGACAAAAGCTTAATATAAATCATAGAAATACAAATGCGCCAATTATTTTTAAGAATTTTGAATATTTTTGCATATGTATTAATGTACCGATTTTTGTAAGTGCGAGCGACCATGCACAACATTATCAGAAAATAAGAGCGATAAATGTAGTAAATTTAAAGTCATGATTTCTAAAATTCAATAAAACATTAGATTGCACAGAATATTTTCCTAAGTTTTTAACATTAATGAGTACTTTAAAATTATATATAAAAGTGTGTCACGTCATCTTCTTAATTGTTTCACAGATTGTCTCCATAGAACTATATTAGATCTGTCATCGGGCTGGCAACACGTTAAAACAGCTACTGTCGGGTTAAAAAGTGCCTTTCTGCGATAGTTTAAGCTTAAAGTAAATAATATTTGTTTCAAATCAGATTAATTATACTTTAAACTAGATAATATTCTTCAAATAAAATTTCAGAAAAGTATATTTTATATTTGGAAGATTTTTTTTTAATAAAGAGAATTACATTGCTATGAATGACAACTAAAAAATGACGCTAATAAGTTATTTTAGCAAAATATAAACCCCTCCTGTCAATTTAAATTTGTTTTTGAAATAGAACAAAATAGTTTGATTATTACAAATATTAAATTTAATGAATTAGCTTGAAATTAAAACTGAAATAAATGCGTCAAGAAAGATTTTTCATTTTAAAAAATTCAATTTAAACTAATGTATCCGATTGTTTGAAGATCTTTAGTTTAAACAGACTCCTATTACCGTTATCGCTAATCTATTTTTAATTATAAACTTCATTTTTAGAAAGTGAAATTTCCACTGAAACTTTTTGAAAGATTTGCAACTGAAATCAAGAACATCGGTCAATCTTCCGTAAAAATGACAAAAAGGACCGAGTCGAACCAGCCTCGGGCTTTCTGTATTCCATTTGTAAGAAGGAGGTTTTCACTCAGACTGATTTTACCCAAGAACCGATACTTTGTGCAACAGACACCCGCGTGGATGCTTCCCCAAACACGACAATCTTAACATCTTCGTTATATATCCTCCATATCCTCATAATCCCCACTTCTTACCTTCTTCTCTTATCAAGAAATTATGAAATTACTTGGAAAAGAGTCACAATATATGGGGAGAAGAAAGTGTCAAATTAAATTGACGTTATTAAGAAATTTTTAAAATAATTCACCCCAAGCAAGGCAGTAAAGTCACTAAGACACAAGAGGTAACTTAGTGTGAAAGACTAAGAAAATAAAAAAAAAAATGGAGAAAGATTATTAAATCGCAAGAATAATGAAAAAAGAGGAATCGAGAGTAGAGAAGATAACGATTGACATTGCATTTAAATTTGTGAAAATCAAAGTTGACTTCGAAGCAAGAAACCGTAAGAGAATTCCACAGGCGAGAAGTGCGAGAGAAGAATCTGATATAAGTTGGAAGAAAGATAGATTCTGGTGAGAAACAAATTGACTACTACGATATAGTGACTCAACAAACCTAACAATTGATTCAATATATTCTTCCTGCTTCATGTCAGTCAAGAAATCACAACAAGTCACTCTCCTGGAGGTTAGCATCAGCCATGCTGATCAGAAACAAAAAGATATCTGTCAGATGATATAGATGAAGATAAGTTAGCATTAACAAGTTCCAGTTAACAGAATAATAAACATAATAAATAGTAATATTCTAGCTGGGGTGGCTCTTGGGGACTGTACTAGAATAACATTAGTAAAATGGAATGAACTTCTAAATAAGCTCTCTACTAACAGATGACATCGGCTTAACTTCTTATTCTTTTATACATCATATTCATTCATGTCTCTCCACAGCTTCCTTTTTTTGATTGTCACCCCTCTTTGATATTGTATTACCACCTAATGCCCAAACTCCTTACACCTTATTAGATCAACCGCTTTAGTTTCCTTTCCTTCACAATATATACAATTTTTGAACTGACTAAAGTGATAGGGTGTAATCGATTTCTCTTTTTTCCTCAGATTAGGTCATTTGCAGTGTTGTACAGTAATATGAATCTATTTTCGGGGTGTACGATGAAATTTGTTTGACCTTGAAAAATATTGCATCATCCGTGATTGCGTCAAATTTTTATCACGCCCAGACACTATTGTCTCGACTGTCGATTAGTTCCAGTTAACAGAATAATAAACATAATAAACTAATTCATAAAGCTATATATCAGTTTAATTCGATGATTGATTCTGTTTTTACGACTTATCAACCCTTTAAAGGTTTTTTAAAGCCAGAAAATGTTTTTAGATTCTAAGAGTTTTTTTTGTAGATAATAATGATTTACTGATGCAAATCTTACTAATTAATCCATAGCTGGGGACGAGAAGAGGTCGATTGCGCGTCAGTGAATATAACGAACCCAACTTTAATTGGAACACGGATCTCCAATTAAAAATTCCAAGCCATTATACATTACGCCACCCGCATACCCAAGCTTACAGTACCTGGTATTCCAAAGCGGTCACCCATCTAGATACTGGCCAGGCTCGACGTTGCTTAGCTTCGGTGATCGTGCGGGAATCAGTGTTTTCAACGTGATGTAGACGTAAGCAATGGTTCTGCAGAAGTTTAATTTTCTAAGAGAGAAATTCTCTGGGAGAGAAATTATTATATAAATACGCTGAAACCCTCGGTCACAATGACTTGTTACTACGTGCCAGGAAAACAATTGACGACCACCAAATAGTTCCGTCCACCCAATTTCACTCACAAGGCTTGGTATCTAATTTCACTCACTACCCTTGCTAAGGAGGCACGGTGGAGTTATGGATAACGTCTCGGATGTCGTAATCGGAGAGCCGAGTTCGAATTCCAGTCGAATCGCTTATACTTACCTCCTTCTAAATAGCAGGGCAGACGGTTTTCTATAGCCTTGGATGGCAAATGAAATGGCAACCTACTGCTGGAAAAAAATCTGCTACGCCAGTCATGTATCAAAAGATACATGATCGCCTGAGTGTATATCACGCATAGCACACAACTGAACTGATATTCCCTTACGTGCTAATACTCTTGGGAAAGGTATACATCCTCATCTTCTCCCCTCAGTTGTGGGTAAGTGGCTGGACAGACCGGGTTCTGTAGCCTTAAAGCAGAAAGAAATGGCAGCCTACTGCGGGAAATAATCTGCCTCGTCAGTCATGTATTGAAAGATACATGATCGCCTAAGCGTTTATCACGCATTGCACATGACTGAACTGATATTCCCTTACGTGCTAATACCCTTGGGAAAGATAAAAATCCTCTTCTGCTCTCTCCAGTTATTGGTAAATAGCTGGACAGACCGGGTTCTGTAGCCTTGAATGGCAGCTTGTTTACCGCAGAAAGAAATGGTAACCTACTCTGGGAAAAATCTGCCTTGTCACTCATGACATATCGAAAGATACATGATCGCCTACGCGTGTATCATGCATTGCACACAACTGACTTACCCTTGCTACGCAATTTCACTCAGTACCCTTGTCACCGAATTTCACTCACGTGCCTGGGTCAACCTTGCTACCCTGGGTTATTTTCCTAATAAATCGATCGATAAATCGATTCAGAACCGGATTTCCTGATCGGAAAGCGAACGTTTTAGCCTACTCGACCACCATAATCTTATGAAGACGGCGGGTGACATCAAGACGGCGACTTGTCCATCATTAAAAGCGTCTATTTCACCAGGCTTCATCAACCCTACACCTATTATATCATAGTTAATGACATCTATTTTTCTAATGAAACACCTCTAGTTCACTCGCCCGCTGAACACGGATAAGACCATCATTTTAAAATACTGTTTTCTTCATCCTAGAAGCTAGAATGACCACGACTTTCAGAATTATAGTTTCCTTTTTATACTCCCAGCCTCTTTTTACTGTTTTATCTCCCCTTTACATCACGGCTTCCTGCTCATAGACCCTCTTCGTGCTTTCTTTTTCGTCCATCTTCCACTAGTACAAGGATTTATTATCTTTTATCTCTCCTGGCACTGAAGGACAGGCTCGAACAACACATGGCGCTAACGCAGCACAGTTGAAATATCAGTTTTTAAATCCAGAACGAGGCAAAGCCAAAAGCGTGTCTAAAATACATCATTACGACACCATATTCAATCTTCTTTTCTTTCTTTTTTTTTAATTCTATAATATTATCGTTCATGTCCGCCATCTGTCCCCATGTTGCTTAATCGGACGAGTGAGTGTATTCAGCGACGAAAGCTTGGCACGTCTGTAGATTTTATTGTGTTTGTCGTCATAATCTATACTCTCTCTCTCTCTCTCTTTCTCTCTCTCTCTCTCACATACACTCTAATTTTTTTTCTGTAGTTCTTTCTTTCATTGAGAAAATCTGTTTTTTTTATTTATTTATGCTTTTGTTGCTGTTGAGAAAAAGAACGGTTTTATTTACGACACTCAAAAGCAGTCATTTTTTTTGTGTGCATGTACGTGGGGGGTTCTTTTGCGATCGTTATAAATGCATATGAATAATCCATATATTTCAAAACGTTGAAAAGACCAGTTTTATAATCTTAATCTAACGATATCTGATAGCTTATAAAATAACCGCACAGTCGTAACATCGGTCAATCTTCCGTAAAAACGACAAAGAGGACCGAGTCGAACCAGCCTCGAGCTTTCTGTATTCCATTTGTAAGAAGGAGGTTTTCACTCAGACTGCTTTTACCCAAGAACCGATACTTTGTGCAACAGACACCCGCGTGGATGCTTCCCCAAATACGACAATCGTAACATCTTCGTTATATATCCCCCATATCCTCATAATCCCCACTTCTTACCTTCTACTCTTATCAAGAATTTACGAAATTTCTTGGAAAAGAGTCACAATATATGGGGAGAAGAAAGTGTCAAATTAAATTGACGTTATTAAGAAATTTATAAAATAATTCACCCCAAGCAAGGCAGTAAAGTCGCTAAGACACAAGAGGTAACTTAGTGTGAAAGAATAAGAAAAAAAAAAAAAAAGATGGAGAAAGATTATTAAATCGCAAGAACAATGAAAAAAGAGGAATCAAGAGTAGAGAAGATAACGATTGGCATTGCATTTAAATTTGTGAAAATCAAAGTTGACTTAGAAGCAAGAAACCGGAAGAGAATTCCACAGGTGAGAAGTGCGAGAAAAGAATCTGATAGAAGTTGGAAGAAAGATAGATTCTGGTGAGAAACAAATTGACTACTACGATATAGTGAATCAACTTTCTTATCAACAAACCTAACAATTGATTCAATAGATTCTGCCTGCTTCATGTCAGCCAAGAAATTGCAATAAGTCATTCTCCTGGAGGTTAGCATTAGCCATACTGATCAGAAACAAAAAGATATCTGTCAGATGATGGAGATGAAGATAAGTTAGAATTAACAAGTTCCAGTTAACAGAATAATAAACATAATAAATAGTAACATTCTAGCTGGGGTGGCTCTTGGGCACTGCACTGGAATAACATTAGCAAAATGAAATGAACTTCTAAATAAGTTTTAGGGATTTTGTTTTCAGCTACGGATGTGCGGTAATAGTAAGCTCTCTACTAATAGATGACATCGGCTTAACTGCTTATTCTTTTTTTATACATCATATCCATTCACATTTCTCCACAGCTTCCTGTTTTTGATTTTCCAACTTTTGATTTTCAGCCCTCTTTGATATTTTACTACCACCTAATACCTCAAACTCCTTACACCACTGTGCGAATTAATTGAAACAACCGCTTTAGTTTCCTTTATTTAACCATAGATTCGATATTAGATCCACTGGGGTGATAGGGTGTAATAGATTTCTATTTTTATCTCAGATTAGGTCATTTGCAGTTTTGTACAGTAATATGAATCTATTTTCGGGGTGTATGATGAAATTTGTTTGGCCGTGAAAAAAATTGCGTCATCCATGATTGCATCAGATTTTTATCACGCCCAGACACTATTGTCTCGACTGTCGATTAATTGTCCTACGGCTATATTCAGCGATGGAAGCGTACGAAAATTGCAACGCTGCACGAACACACTGGCAAACCTTACTAGCGAGCAAATCAAAGTACTAGAGACTAACCCGGAAACTCTCCTAATTTAAATCCAATCGAGAATCTGTGGTCAATCTGGAAGGAACGACTTCGCGGAATAGACGTACGGAGTACTAATATGTGCACTGGGTCATATTTTATTGGAAAAATACGAAAAAAGTAAATTATAACGAATTATTCATTTTGTTTCAATTAATTTGCACAAGGGTGTAAGTAGGTTACCCGCTAATTCACCATGCTTCTCATGCATTCAGTTTAATCTATGAGGATAAAATACTGTAGGTTCTCTTTTTGTATTATATGTTTCAGAAATGTCAACTGTCTCTTTATGACTGTAAGTATAAGAGTTCCTATTTCCCATAAAATGTCACTTCTCACATGTTCTGTACATAGTATGCTGATGGCACAGTGGAAAAAGGAATTGATGTGACACGCTTCGTTTTTTTTAGCACATAATCGGATTAAAGTAATGTGTTTTTTATAACTACAAATGCAGATGAAAGAGAGGGAACGCTGAAATTTTAAACTTTTAAATTTAAACCTTTTATTTATTTTTAATTTATTTAATCACCACAGAGAACCTTTTTCTGTCTACCATGGCTGATGTTTGAAATCCAAGAAAACAAAACTCTACGCCTTCGTAGCATCACGTTTCCACTGTCGTGGAATCGAACGATTTCGTGTCAATTTCTACGTCAGTGGCTAAGAATGTTGGTTCTCAGAGTCCTGCCTCCGCTCAAATATTTTAATCCATCTTCAACATTTATAAATCTAGCATTCCTCCGTGTTATTGAATAATGTTGTCATATCTGGTCTGATGCCCTTGCAGTACATCTCGAGATTCTTGACAAAATCTAGAGAAATGTCTGCAATCGATCCTAACCTGGCATCTCGCTTCCAGTTACTGACGTGACGTGAATTCCCTCTTCCTGTTCTTCGAATATTTTCATGAGATTTTTCCCTGGTGCTGCGGATACATGAACTGAAATGTGCTACTAGATTGACAATTAGGTCTCGCCGTTTTACTGTTGAACTAGGCAGATGCAAACGCCACTTCTACTCTAACAGTTTTTTTTTTACATTTCCAAACTACGGAACTCCTTCCGAGTTCTTGCTTCTCTGATAACTACAGTCCTCAAAAATTTCAACGCAACGTCAATTGGCATCTTCAGTCGTCTTGAACCCTGTTCCTTTTTTGTCCTTTCCGCAATCTTCTCCATTTTCAATCTTCTCATTCTTATCCACTTTTATACCCAGTAACGTCCCCCACCCGGCGTTTTAGCGGCATTGTCGCCTTGCTTAGGGTGAAACAATTTTAAAAAAATTATGCGTTTGTGTATATAGTATTGCCACTTTCATTTAGTTACTTTTTCTTTTTGTCTATATTTTTTTTTATTATAGTAGCTATTAAGTGTCCAGCATTGTGCTAATAGAATATCTGCCAAGAAACATGGATTGCTGTGAGAAGCTGGACGCAAATTTAGTAAATGACATTCGTTTTAAATTAAAATAGATTTTTTTAAATTCGAAATT